AAGTGAAAATAAAATAAACAATAAAAGGTGAATCAAATGGACCATTATGGCAAGGCTGGGATGGTCAATTTGGTAAAGTAAATCTTTCAAAATTGATAGTACTGATGATTCATAACATAAAAGTGGAAGTGTTCCTACAGGTACCTTAGTAAGAGGAATTAGTCTTTTCATGTTGATATAATAACCTCTTTTACTGTTGATTAATGTTCTCATAGTTCTCTTCTACACCTGTCGATTTACATTTTTCTTGATTTTATTTTTTAAGCTGCCACTTGTTAAGCTCAGTAAGAGAGTAGAGTGTGAGAATTATAGTTTCAGACATGAAAAGTTCTAATAACATGAAAGCTAAGATCTTAAGGTAGAGGAATTAATAAAAAAGTTATACAAATGCACTGTTTTTTATATAGACACTAACTGTGATTTAGGTACAGCTAACTGAAAAAAATCAACTTAAATTCGACATTAATATTGTTGAATTTCTTTAATTTATTAATTCAAGAAATAAATATATGAAGAATGAATAATGATAAAGCACAGAAACGTAGAAATTTTAATTAGCTTTACATTAGTTGTATTTTGTTAATTCTGCTATCATCTATTTGGATTTAATTAGAGCTCCATGTACCTGGGTTGTTTTCATTGTTACATTGACTATTTATCCTGTCTCTTTCACTGGTTCATTTATTACTCTATATGTGACATGATATCTGAGTGGCATGTATATAAACATAGCATAAGTAAGTAGGAAATGTGTGTTTTGTCGGTTTTGCTTTTTGGCAATGAATCTTATACTGCTGGAAAGCCTGTTTATTTACCTGCACATAATGTCACATTTGTAAGGAAAACAAATTTGCTGGTTAAGCAGCACAGTCAAGTATATGGGTTGTGTTCAGAGACTGGTAATCTGGCATACTGGGCATTAGCCCAGTTGACCGACCGGTCGGTATAATTATTTTTCTTTGTCAATACAATTATACAGGCCGGCCTGAAGGGCTGGTGCTCACCATCAGTGCAACCCATTGTTCATTTTCATTACTGACACTGGATTCCCCAATCAAATCTCAGTCGGCCCTGTCTTCCTTGTGTTCTCATGCACCTTGTAGAACAGAGTTTAGTGTGGAAGAAGTGTTTGATAAA